CTGAGATAGGCTGGGACACCAGATAGGGCTCCTGAAGTCCTGAAGACTTAGGAGCTCAAAAGGGAAGTAAACAGAGTGCATGCGAGTTGCTTGGATTGTTGGCGCTGCAGCCCCAGGTGGCTGGCTAACCCTCTCGAATGGCTAAGTGGCAGGTGCAGAGCCCTTGTCCTGTGCTGGGGGCTGCCTGAGATCCCCAAGCCCTAGTCCTTTTTAAGGACCAGAACTCCCTCACCTGCTACCATCACATCCTAGCGCCTCATGTCTCCATTTAGAGGGCATCGTGTCTCAGCCTTCCAGGCAGGAGCCACTCCAAGGCATCCTGACACGTTTATGATGAAACCTTAGAGACCCATCCCAGCATTAGATTAGGTTACACAATTCTAGAAACAATGGGGTTAAGGTGTCCACCTAGTCCACAGGCCACATGGCCTTTGCCCTTAAGGAACTTAAACAGTGCTTGACAATATGTGATTAAGTACTAATTGTATTTCCCAACAAGCACATACTGAGCCTGCTGGTGCCAGGAGCAGCACTAGATGCTGGGCACAGGTGATGAGTTAGACAGGCAGTCCTTGGGTTGTGGAGCTTATAGGCTGCTGGGGGAGACAGACATGGAGCACCAGTTGGGGGACGGGGGCTGTGGGGCCTTTAGCGGGAGCTGCAGTGGCCTAGCAGGTGAGGGATGTCTGAGCTGAGGCTCACAGACGAGGAAGTGGGGTGAGCTTGGAGGAGAGAGAGGTCTCTGTGCAGCGCAGGGCTGGGTCAGGCTTCCTGCAGGAGCTCCCATCCCAGCTGGGCCTTGAGACTGAGTTGGCCTTGAGGAAGCAAGCGGGGTCCCCGTAGTGAGGCAGGAATGAGTATTTGGGGTGGTGGGGCCATTGGTCTGGCTGCTCTGGTTTCACAATTGTGTGAGATGAAGTAAAGGGAGAATAATTGCTTTTGGAGGGGCTAGTCTACGTGGAGGGCCAGGCATCCATGTGGACATGTGCACAAGGCACTTCCAAAGTTAGAAATGTGGCCCTCTGGTGCAGGCAAGCAGGGGGTGACACTCAGTCTTCTGAAGAAGAAACAAGAGAGAAAGAACCTTGGAGAGCCACGGACAGGGTGCCAAGACACCTGGGTGGGGCAAGGGAGCCAGTGCCGAAGGCAGGAGAGGATCGGAGCACGTCATTCTGTAGAAGCTCAGAGAACAATTCTCCAGGAGGAGAGTGAGGGAGGAGTGGCTCTCTGTGCCAGATGCAAACGAAGCTTCTAGGGCTCTGAGAATTGGGCAGGGGAATACGGGACTGTTCATGCAGATGAAGGAGTATTCGTAATAAATTGCCTTGATCTCTTTCTCTCTCCCAGAAGAGCACCTTTTCTTGCCTTCCTGGCCAAAAGCATCCCCAGGGTCCCAACAGCAGGTCTGCAGCATCTGGCCATCCCTGGGGCTTTGGAGGGAGAAGGCCCCGGCTCTCTGCCTGGTGTCACTGGCCACCTACTCCGGACAGCTCACTAATGAGGGGACGCCAGCATTGCCTTTGAGCTGCAGAGATGAAAGTGGCCACAGGCCACTGGGGCTGGGCAGGCAGCAAGCAGGTAGGGGCAGGCCTGCCTGACAGCTCAGCGATGAGGGGGCCCCTCCCTCACCCCTCCAGGTTCCAAAGTCTCATCTATCTGAAAGCTTTGCACAGAAGGGAGCCCAAGGCTCACCTGGAGTGAGAAGAAGCTTCTCTCCTTAAACAAGTCTGGCCCTAGGGAAAGCTGAGCTTGACCTTTTTTGGGAGGAGGAGAGGCCCCTTACACATTGCGGATGCCAGGTCCAGGGCTTCCAGCACAGCCTTTCCTGGGACCTGCTCCAGCTGCTGCTTTGGGCCAGGCTGGGCCTCTCAGGACAGGTGGGGTTCTGGCCACTGGGGCTTGGGCCACACCCAGGGAGCAGTGATGAGCTTCAGAAACCAAGGCATGCCCAGCCTGATCCAGGAACATCTGCCCCACCCACATCCATTAACCTTTTGGCACTGGCGTAGCTTTCCCCTACTCTGACAGGGGATATAAAAGATATAAACTTGGAGGGGGCAGGATTGGGAGAGGATAAATGGGTGAGAATGGATACAGCTAGAAGGGAGGCCGCTGTGGGGAAGTGTGCAGAACAGTTTCGAGTCAGGCGGGCTATTTTGAGCAACTCACTTCTCTTCTTGGAGCCTTCCTTTCTTCATCAACAAAATGGAATGAGGAGTATTACACAGCCAACACATTTTAGAGGGTTGTCAGGAGTAAATGAGAGAATGAACGAATTTTCCAAACTGTCAAGGTTAAGTAGGTAGGTGTTGGTCACCGTGACCACTGTCACTTCAGGGGCTTCAATGTGAAGTCCATGGTCCTGAATTTGGGGGATCTGTGGAGCACGTGGAATAAAGAGTAAAAATGCACACGTGGCCTCTTTCTGGTGGGGACCCAGAGCTCTCATCAGCTTCTCAAAGAGGTCCCAACAACAGGGACCCAACAGAATTTCGGACCCACACACAGCACAAGTCTATCCCTTTTCAGATGAGTTAATGGACACCCCAGGTCACACAGTTTGTCAGAGGCAGAGCCAGGATGTAGGGCCCTTGTCCCATGCCCTTCCCCAGCCTGGGTTAACCTCTATTGTCTCTCCCATGTCAAGTGAGGGGGAAACAGAAGGGACTGGGGAGGGGAGACAAGCCAGATGCGGAGGCCCAAACCCTGCTGGGAGCTGGGGCCCTTGTCCCCATTCTGGGTTACCAGGATGAGGACATCATGACAGGGGGACACTGAGAGACAGAATGAGGAAGCTCCAAGGTTGGGAGGGGTCTGGGAGGCCCTTCCTGGAAGCCCACATTGCTAAATAAGGGAGTCATCCTCCCTTTTCCAACAGCTCCCCACAAAAACTGGGAGGAGGAAGCACAACTCTCTCTGATGCTGCTTTGAGATGATCTCTCTGGTTCTGTTTTCTTTTTTGGAAACTTTTTGCTGGGGGTGGGTGGGTGTTGGCAGGAACAGCTCTGTGGAACATGCACGTCAGGTAGAGGCTTCAGAGAAGACACCACGTCAAAGCGTTATGGATGGGCCACATGTCAATGTAAGGTAGTCATCACCCAAAGATGCCGTTTGTCGAGCACCTGCTGAGTTCTAGGCATGTGCTGGATGCTCTGCCTAAGTCAGTGTAAATGTCACCACCCCCAGAGGCCCTCCCTGACCTCTTGGGGTCATAAACCCTAGTAAACTAAATCCACTCCTGTTCCCCACCCCCTGGTTATTCTCCCATGCTCCTTGTTCTTTCCCCTCCTACCACTCATTGTCATTTGTGATGGTTTTTATCCCTTCCCTCCGCTAGACTATAATCTTGCCATGAACAGGAGTCGTATCGGGTGTCGGCTGCTGTCTATCCATGCTAAGCCATTGTGTGGCATCTAGTAGTCACCGGAGTCCTTGTTAAATGCATGCATGACTGTCTCTAATCTTCGCAATAGCTTTATGAGGCAGGTATTATTATCATGTATGTTTTACAGAAGAAACTGAGGTTCAGAGGGTCAAAGAGACTTGCTTAAGGACACAGTTTATTATCCACTTTAGCTCTGCTCCTTCCCCTAAGGGATTCAGAGAACGAGAAGACCTAAGGGTCAGAAGAGAAAGTTGGGCCCAGCAAAATGGCTCATCTGTCCAGCCAGCCCCTGTGCTCAGCCTTCCCCAGCTGAGCTCTCCCAACCTCTCTTCACACCCCAGGAGCTCCGAGTCATCAATCCACAGCCACAGAGCTGGAGGCCAGTCCAAACTGGCATGTTTATTTCCCAAGCCAAGTGAGACCCAGCCCTTTCCTGCCCACCCCAGGGCAATATACAGCTGCGAGTCCACGCCCCACCCCTTAAGCCTTAACATGACATAAATTAATGAACTTTTATAAAACATTGTCCAGGGAAAATACATACATATAGAGAGAGCCAGTGCTGGCATTGTGTGGTGGGAGGGGGGTTACTTCTTGAACACAGGTACGAGACCCTGCCCCAATAGGGTGGCGGCCTTGGCTATCTGGGCGCCCACCCACCCCTGTACTTTCTTCCCTGAAATAGCTCACCTGCTGTCCTTATAACCCAGTACCTCAGCTGGTTACCATAAATCATGAGGGCCCAACATCTTGCTCCCAAAGGGAGCTGCTTCCTGGCTGCCCCCCTCACCGGCCTACCCCTCTGAGGTGGGTCCCTCCCCTGTCCTTCCTTCTTGCTGAGGTCCACCAGGACCCGAAGACAGGGAAACCAGACCAAGAAATATTGTTTCCTGATATGTTTGGTGACCATATATCATCACAACCTGGACTTTTGTTAAAAGTGGAAGGTGGTCTAATTCACTGGAAACCAACCGTAACCCTGGACTGCCTAGACAAAGGACAAATGGTCACTCTACTGATAGGTCTCCCCTGCTCCGAACTGGCCCATCCCTACCACTCTTGACTTTCCAAAACACATTCCCAATTGGCAGCAAATTCCTCTCAAACCTCTATTCCCATCTCTGCTGCCTCTCACTCTCCAAGGCCTTCTAACATCTTGGCTATACTTTCTAAGGCCTCAATAATATTGGTGACTTATAGTATCAGGGTCAGGAATAATGCCTCCTCCAACTTCCACATAAGACCTGGCAACGTAAGGCCTCTGGTGTCAAGCCCCAGACCTCATAGCTCCTTGGGCCCAATCCCCTAAATCATGGCTGCATGGGTCTGAATAGAAAAGCAGCTCACGCCTATAATCCTAACACTCTAGGAGGCCGAGGCGGGAGGATTGCTTGAGCACAGGAGTTCGAGACTAGCCTGAGCAAGAGCGAGATCCCGTCTCTACTAAAAATAGAAAAATCAGCTGAGCGTCATGGTGTGCACCTATAGTCCCAGGAGGCTGAGGCAGGAGGATCCCCTGAACCCAGGAGTTGGAGGTTGCTGTGAGCTACAATGATGCCACTACATTCTACCCAGGGTAACATAGCCAGACTCTGTCTCAAAAAAAAAAAAAAAAAGCAAGCCTTAATTCTCAGTCTCCCATCCCAAACTTGCCAAATCTCCTCTCTCTAGGCCTCCCTGTAACTAAGGGCCATGGCCAAGGAAAAATGAACCATTAATCCCCTTACTTCTGCCCTTGGCCAATGCAAAGGGCTCTGTTTCCGGTGTCTTCTCCATATGTTGTGCATGTACATTCCTGGTCCCACCTCAATGTGGCTAGGAATCCTAGGTATCACCTCTTGGGGTGGCAACTGATGGAAGCTAAAGTGATCTACCTGAGGTGCCCTGCACCCCGACCTGGTTGGGGCTGGGCCTTGGCCCCTTGCAAGGGCCTGACAGAGTCAGCACCCCACCCCTTGCTTTTAGAACCTGCTCAGTAGGACATGCTTGTAAGACTGCTTTAAATAAGTCTTGCCACAGCAGATAGTACCAGATATCAGAAACTCAGTGCCCAGGCCCTTAAAGGTTCCTCCTGTCTTCCCTCCTTCCCCTCCCATCCCCATGTGTAGACAGTCCGCAGCCACACAGTGCTCTGGGAAACAGCACTCTCGATCTGCACAGGCTGCCCTGCTGCTTCTCATTCATTGTCCATCCGTCTGTCTTCCGGGAGCAAAGCTTCCTCCACGTCTGAGTCAGGCTGCCTAACCTGCTGTGTCCCTCCCACCCCCCGCAAAAGCAAGTGCCCAGATCCAACCCCTTCAAGTAGAGCTGAGAGAACCTGGGGCTCAGGAGGTTGCTTTCCGATGGGCCCCTGAGTAGGCATAGGAGATGGGATGGCGGGTCCCAGGCCTCACAGTAAACGTGTTGATGGGGCTTCCGTAGTGGGGGGTGCTGTGGGGAGACCTGGGGGAGAGCAAGACAGGTGAATTTAATATCTGCAGCTGGTTAACCAACACCCCTCCCATCTCCCCCAGGGACCGGGCAATGTGGCTCAGCGCTGTTGCGTCTGCCCCCACGAACCCCGGGTTTATGAAGCCCAGGGAGGGACCCCAGTCCACCAGACACAGGGCTCCCCTTGCGGCCCAATACCCTTTCACTAAGAACCCTCACTCCAGCCTGGGTCTGGACCCATCCGAGTTGTTGGGAAATCCCTCTACCCAAGGAGCACTCAGCTCCACCCCCACCTAGAGGGTGGGAGAGGGGAGAGAGAAGAGGCGGAGCAGGGGTGAGGGAGAGAGAACAATAGAAATGCGAAGCGGGTAGGGAAACGCCAACAGCGCCCTCTTCAGGCGGGTGGACCTCCTCCCCTTTCTGCCTGCAAACAGAGGGGGAGAAAACCAGACGGATGGCCACGGCCTGGTCGGGTCCTCTGTGGCCCCAGAGCCGCGCTTCCATGGACCTCACCTGGCTCCCACCCCCCGGGCTCCCTCCATCATCCCGGCCGCCGGCTCACCTGCCCGTAGCAGGGGCGAAGCCGTAGTCGGCGCCGCCGGGCGCTTTGTGCTTGGCGTCCCCGGCCGCCCGGGCGGCGCCCTCCTGGGACAGCCTCCGCGCGTGCAGGCCGCCGGGGGGCGCGCGGCCCGCCGAGTTGACGCGCCGCATCTCGGGGCCTCCGGGCGCTCCGAAGGGCCCTCCGGGCTGCGGCCCGAAGCAGTTGGGGGTGCTCAGGCTGCGGCCGGTGCCGCCGCGAGGCAGCCCGGGGCTGCGGTGGGGCTCCCCGACGTACAGGCGCTTCTTGATGAGCGAACGGCCCCCGCCCGAGAAGCGCTCCAGGCCCCCGGCCCCGGCGTAGCGCGCACCCGCGGGGAAACCCGAGAAGCCGCGGGCCGGGGGCGCTGTGGGGCCCGCGTCCCGGGGCTGCCCCAAGTCTGAGAAGTTGTTCCGGGGAGGGGAGTCCAGGCGGCGGCCCAGATACTGGAGGGTCCGGGCCGGGGGCTCAGGGTCATTGCTGAACTCTGGCGGCGGTGGGATGACCTCAAAGCTGAACTCTTTCTCCTCCTCCTCCTCCTCCTTCTTGTACGAAGGGGAAGGTGGGGAGGAGAAGGACTTGGGCAGCAGGCGGCCCCGCGGGAGGTTCAGGGGAGCTGGTCTTTCCCAAGCCACAGGGGCCTGGGGCTCCGCCTTTGTCCAGTTGTGCCTTCGGCTTGGCTCTGTGCCCTCTGGGTCTCTTCGGGCCTGGGGCTTCCACTGGCGGGTTACCGTGGGCTGGGCTGACGAGGTCAGCTGGGAGTCCTTGTCAGGCTCCTTGGGTGACTTGGGGACCACAGTGAAGGAGTTGGGCCGACACTCGCTGTAGAAGATGCTGTCAGAGCCGGCCAAGGCCTCGGGTTGGTGGCTGTGGACTCGGATACTCCCTGGCAGGGAGGACCGACCCAAGACAGCCCCTCCGGGCCTCCCCTTCTGTGCCCTCTGCCTGGCTGCCAGGAGCAGGGCCATTGGGGAGCCCCGCTCCACCACCTCCCCAGTCACTGGGTGCCTGAGTAGGTCATCAGCAGGCTGGGCTGAGGGGGGGGCTTTGGGTGGCAGCCCCTGGGGCTCCTTCACCTCCACAGGCTCCCCCGACCCTGTAGCCTCTCCTCTGGCTGGGGTGGGCATCACCACAGCAACCTCTCTGCTGGGGCTGTTCTGGCTGCGATGGGGCTTGTAGAGAAATAACACCTCTTCCCGGCCAGGGGATGTCTTTGGTGGGAGGGCTGGAGATGAGAGGGCTCCACCTGTGCGCAGCCTAGTGGCCTCTGAGGGGGGCCCTTCTGCCCTTGGCTGGGAGGGAATGGAAATGTCTTGAGATTCTGGCTTCTTCCACTGCTCAGCTGGGACTAGATCCTTCTCTGCCATCAGTTGGGATGACATAGTGGGCAGAGTTGTGGCTGTAGATGGTACAGAAGGCCCAGGCGTGGTGTTGGGTGGTGTTGCTGGCTCCAGTGTGGCCTTGGGTGGTGTGGCTGGCCCAGGCGTGGGCTTGGGTGGTGTGGCTGGCCCTGGTACGGCCTTGGACTGGGGTGGTGTGGTTGGCATAGGAGTGGTGGATAGAGGGGGTGGATTCTTGGCCACAGACTTGGAGAGTTTCCCATTACCAGTCCCGTTTTCAAAGATTCTTCCCCCTTCTAGCCGAGGCTTGGGAGGCAGAGACCCTGTGCTGGGCTTGGCTTCCTTCTCTGCTGAAGACGAAAGCCGGGCCTCCAGCTCACTCCGGATCTGCCGGACGCTGGGAGTTGGGGAGTCTTGGGGGACGTAGTCCACCGGGGGGAGGGACAGGCTGGGGGCTGCCTCTCCCCCTGGCAGGCTGCTGCTGCAGAGACTCTTCTCAGGAACACCTGGCAAGCTCTCTGTCTCTGGCAGGCTCGGGGGAGCCTCCTTCTCTGGCAGGCTGGGGCCTTTCCTGCCCTCCTTGCCCTGAGAGGCCACCATTGGGCCT